GAACAGAGAAGCTATATGTATAGCAGTTGGCATAACTTTCATGTTCGTCAGGATCAAGAAAAGCATTAAGGCCCTGTCACACTGTCCCGAAATTGACACCCGATGGACACACGAATATGGAATTGTGAATTTCGCACGAAGATGGCCCCGAACCACACACGAAGGCAACATTTACATTACATTTAAGACATACAACTGCAATGAAATTACCAAAAACAATTGTGTTACAGTACTATGATACTGTACTGATATCTTCAGACTTTGTTCTTTACTTTATCCGTCTTTATATGTAGAAAATATTACGTTTTCTCCGTAATGTTGTTTCCATAACAACAACAACTTCCTGTCAACTGTCCTTCAAAATAATATATTATATCCTTTTTAGTTTCACAGAACACAAATTGGGTTATTTACATAATATATTTACATGATTTTGTTGTGCAATAAAACAACCCAATGGACACACGATAAAGGAAATGTTCAAATTCGGCTGTGATCGTAACAACATCGGGCCATTCGTGAGGGCATCTTAAGCCATCGTATGACCGCCGGTGGAGTTTCTCAGGCTCCGGCAGCAACTTCGTGAGCGGTGGCAAAATCTTTGGCATGCCAAAAAATTGCCGAAGGACCTTACGAAGGTTCATTTTCGTGTTGAATTCGTGTGTCAATTGTGCCCTTCGTAAGGCCATCGTGAGGGCATCGTGTTATCATCGGTGCCATCGGGCATTCGCCCCGATCAGAGTGAGGGTGAATGCCCGATGGCACCGATGATAACACGAAGATGACACGATTTGACAAGATGCCCTCACGAGTGCCTTACGAAGTTGCCGCTCACTAAGTTGCTGCCGGAGCCTGAGAAACTCCACCGGCGGTCATACGAAGGCTTAAGATGCCCTCACGAATGGCCCGATGTTGCTACGATCACAGCCGAATTTGAACATTTCCTTTATCGTGTGTCCATCGGGTGTCAATTTCGGGACAGTGTGACAGGGCCTTTATAGATATGCCTTACTGTCTCTCTAAACATAATTTGTTGATTCTAAGTGTGATGACCTTTTTAGAGTTCATGATACAACTCTCACTGAATTTACTTTCTTTTTTAGATTCAGCTGAGATAATCCTTAATGTTACAGTAGAAGGAACATTCATTATTTAAGATGATTTGCATTATACATCTTTGCAAACTCACAATTCACATATTGGATGTGAATTGTGAGTTTTTGTGATACTTTTGTAAATGTTCCACTGAGGTTCTTTGTGTCTCTGCCTGGACATCAGCAGTGTTCAGTCTGCCTTCTACATCTGAAAGACGAAAATGTAGTTGCACAAAATAGTTACCTGAAAAAGCCGTCTCACATTATTTTCTGGAAAAAAATAAAACATAGTCAATCCATCTGTAAATCAATATATAATGTAGTTAATGTACCTCAATCAGCAGCCTGCAGAGCCTCCACTCCGGCATCTGTGTCTTCAAGCTCATTTCCGAGTGCTGTCAGTCTGCCATTCAACTCTATTTGATCAAAATGAGGAGCTAAATATTGAATGACTTCAACTATTTAGTCGACCATAAATCTTTGGGTAGGATAGAATGAGCTGAGATGAGATGAGGAAATCTACTTTGCCGGTCATAAATAATGAATTTGTTTGTTGTATACCTTCACTTTCTTTCTGCAGTTCTCTCACTCGTTTGCTTTGGCCCTCCAAGTCACTGGCATCCATTCTGGCCTCCATTACTGCTCCATAAAATTGATTAGAGAGAACATATCAAACAATTCCTAGGCTAAAATACATATAGAGATTGCAGGAGTCAACTTTATTCTTTATATTTAAGAAAAAAGCAAAATATCAACCTGCTTCTTCATTCTATAAAGTGTCCCTATTTGTGTTATAAATATTTAAAATTCATTTTGAATTTGTGGATAAGGTTACCTTACCTGTGTACTGCCGCACAGCTTCCTGCACCTGCTTCCTCTGCTCCTCTCGCTGCATCTCACTGACTCTCAGCCTGCTCTCGTGGTCTTTGTTCATAGAATTGAAGGAATGCAATAGCTAGTGATTGTAACCTTCCAAAAAAACGTTCAAATTTCAACAACATACAACAGCTTTGATTTAATTGAATCGGTTTTTTTAAACTGTAAACACAAACATGTTGATATCATCAAGCGCATAATGTAATTGTTCTCTTATTTTCATGCACGTGTAATGCCTGTCTTCAGTGCTTCTAACTGCTCCAATATTTCTTCCATCTGGCTGTCACCGACTGTCCATTCTATACAGTACATTACACACATTTTGTATCCGACACATACCCTGTACTTTTTGCAGCTGCACCACTTTCTCTCTGGTGTGGCAGCTCACTTCTCTGTTCCTCTCACTGAGCAGAGTGAAGATATCTGCTTCAGCGGTCTCATCCTCAGTGTTTGTGATAGCAGTGAACCTCTGTCCCAGGATGTTTGCCTCAGACAGGCGGCAGCAAAGCAGAACTAGTAAAACAACCCTCATCTCTGTGGACTGTAGGGCTGCCACACCTCTGGGGCTTTTGAGTTAGGTGGCCGTGTGAAAAGTGATGTAAGCTCTGTATGTTTACGTGAAGTTCACCATCTGAAGTTCATGAAACATGTCAGCTAGCCAGGGTTAAGGACAAAGGTGTTTTGATCAAAGGCCTTGAAGGATATTAATAATATATATATATTTATATTGAATCGTTTTTTTTTAAACTGTAAACACAAACATGTTGATATCATCAAGCGCATAATGTAATTGTTCTCTTATTTTCATGCACGTGTAATGCCTGTCTTCAGTGCTTCTAACTGCTCCAATATTTCTTCCAATATTTATATATATATATATATGTGTGTGTATGCAGTGATCCGTTACTGTCTTTAAAATAAACATCAGAAATACCTTCATTTATATTACAGTCCATATTAGATGTGTTGAGAGTGTTGGGTTTGTTTTCCAAAATGAAGACCTGAATTGTTAGTGTTTAACAAAGAAAACATTGTTACATAATAGACATTAAGATGCACATTTCCACGGACTTAAGTTTTAATTGAAGGCAACGTAAATTAATATAATTTTACAGGACCGTTTCAGTATTATTAACTCTGCCAAGGGGGTCAAATATTCGGTTTGTTTGACTATTTATTAGCAGGATTATGAAAGAAAATACAAGCCAAATGATTATGAAACTTGGGGGAAGGATCCATTATCGGAGTGGATATGAATTACGTTGGCGGATAAACAAACAGTTTTTCATTTTTCACAACTATTTTGCGATGTAGGGCATGGCCTATCTTTCAATGTTAACGGTAATCTATGCTATACTGTATGCCTTCTTCCTGCTTCTATTCTGTAACTCTCACAGTTAAAGTGACATTCAAAGACATATTGGTGTATGTATGTGAATGCAAGTTTGTGTTCATGCATGCTTTTATGTATGAGGCTAAACACGTGGATGTAAACCGTGTCCAGCTGACTCCCACTGAAACTCAGGACAGCGTCATGGCAGTGAGCGAGGGCATAGTTGGAGGTGTGTTTGTCCACCGGTGTGTGTGTTTTTGTGTATCCCATGGGGCAGGGCAGAGGTCAGGTGCTAAGCAGCAAAGGTTAAAGAGATACAGGACGGATCTGCTTCCACACACTTTTGCACATATGTGTTAGCTTCATGTCTGCATGTGAATCTTTGTTGATTCATGTAGAGTGTGTTGTTAATAATTGTGCACGTGTGTGTGCTTCTATGCTGGAGGAGTGTCCCAGGGTAGCGTGTGTTCAGCAGAGATCAGATGTTACTACAAAAGCCAGAGAGCATATATGACACTAGTGCTGTAACACACCTAAAATCGTTGTCTGTGGGTCACCATATTGACCTTAACATCTCTTACTGCATGTGTTTATGGATGTGGTTTTAAAATATGTGCTGTGTGTAACCCTGAATGTACGAAGCTGCAACAGCTGTAGTTAAATAGCATAAGAGTCTCATGAGATGGTTGGGTGTGAGGTGTTAATACGGTGTGTTCGTGTCTTCAGAGTTGTGGGAATAGGGATCAAAGCGGGTGAAAGCATTAACTTTGAACAATGTCAGAGGCACCCTCAGGAAATCCTTTTGTCACCAGAGAAATTGTCACAGCTGAGAGGCCTGTTTAATAGGATATTCAGATGGGATTATTATGCTGGTGTGTTACAAAAACATTTACCTCAAATTAAAACTGAGATTGCAATTTATATGTATGGGAACGTAGTTTTGTAGGAGGCAGGATTTCAAATTCAAACCTTTTCCATGTTCTTGATCACTCAAAAAAACGAAGTGATGAAGTAAAAATCACCAGGTCAAGTGTTGACAGTATTTACAATATGTGGACAAGACGACTTCACAACAAAACAAATGTGATTGTTAAACCGTTGAGCTTTCTTTTTGTGCAAACAAGTGTGAACTATGTTTTTTTTAAACGTCAGCTACATCATTTGAAGAATGTTGTCATATTCTGTGAAATGATAATGCAGTGACAAATTCTTGTTGCAGGTGATTTTAAAATGAATGCAATTCAGGTCTCATCCAGCATTATTTGCAAAACCTTGTTTTATACATATTTTCTGTCTGGGTCCAATCCCTGTATGAAGAGCTGTGAACTGAGTTTATAATGAAACAGGATTTTTAGGTCTGTTTTCAAACTTTATACGAATGTGTTTTCAGCATTTTAAGGCACTTTTTAATCTTCCTGTGTAGAGTAAAGCATCTTTCAAATTTAAATGACATTGTTGGATAACAAACGAATCACAGTCTGCAGCCTGGCCGTCACACTCAGATTCGGTATGGAGAAAGAAAATATGGAGGACAGGTCATGTTCTGTACATTTTAAATATGCATCAAGGCAAAACATTTTTCTACCCTTTACCTTTAAGATAGATTAGTGTAACCAAAGAAGGATTCAAGTATTTTTGACATGATTGACTAAAGTTTTTCGAGTTATTCTGAATTTGTTCTCTTCCTTCTTCCACAGATCATTGCATATCAGCCATATGGACGCTCTGTAGACTGGTGGGCTTATGGAGTCCTGCTCTACGAAATGCTGGCAGGACAGGTGAGGGCCACCACACACACACACACACACACACACACACACACACACACACACACACACACACACACACACACACACACACACACACACTCCAAATTGTACTTTTTATGTCATTAAACACAAGTTTGTTCACAGACTGCTCACACCCACAACATTCCCACTTTGAATTTTCCCAAAAAGTAAGTCCTGCATTTACTCAGGTGGTGCCTGCTAAGACTTTCCCAGCAGCCCTAATAATAAAGACTGACGTACACTACGTACACATAAACCCCCCATCTCCCAGCCAATCATAGGGTATATTCAATTCAGTGAACATTGGATATGACCTATGTTGCCCTCTTTTAGAGAAGTCAGACACTAATTTGTGTATGATTGTGCATGTGTGCACAAAAAAACCCGCAATTAAATGTTGAAACTTTTTGAAGTTACTGCTAACCTGTTCAGGTGCCGCTACGTTTTTTTCCAGGGATTTTCTGTTTATGATGACTATGTGTTGTCTGAGATGTTTTAACATGAACTTACAACCACATTTAAGTGGTAATTATAGTTGAATCTCAGACCATGTTGAAGATAAAAAGACTAATCACAACTTTGTGAAATGTGCAGAAGCTTAAAATGTATCATCCATCTTTACAATATTAATTTAAATGTCTCAGGATAGTGTTTACACCATTTCAAAATCTCACCAAATTAGATGGGTTTGAATTATTTATTGACAGATTTTCAATTAAACATGTTTCCAAGACTCAACACTAAATGATTTAATAAAACATGTATTACTTATTTACATGTTTTTTAAGTGACTCCCCTTCATTAAGGCCAACATCGTGTAAGTGCAAGTACATGCAATAACATGTTTTTTCCCTCCCAAATGAACTCCATAGCAAGCTGTTAAACAATTTACAAAATGTTAAACTTATTGAGACGTTTCCTTCCTCTGTCTTTCCCTGCCTTGCGTGAAATCAGCTAAAGAGGGCATGACGCAGACAGGCTATCTCTGCCCAAAGGGGCCAGTGGAGTGGAAATGACACATAATTAGTTTTATGGAATGTCAAAACACCCACATTATGGTTACTGATGATAACCACCCAGTGAGCACGAGAAAAAGCTGGGTCATCCACTCCATCTGCCCTGCAAGGTCTTCCTGTGAAACCTGATCACATGAACCACGTATTTGTTGTTTGGTGTTTTATATCTGTCTTGTTCCTCTTTCCGTGGTCTCCACTATTCTTCCTCTTGGCATCCTGTTTAGTTCATTCAGAATCCTGCCTCACATTCATTAGGGAAAACCTTTTTCATAACATTTTCAAACAGAGGGCATGAATGACATTAAACACATATTGGTGCCATTGTTTATGATGACACGTCACTTTTGTCAGTGAAAAGGCCGTCAAGTAAACAACAATAACTTAATCATCCGTTATGTGACAATGGATGAAACACCAACAACACTCTCAAAATGATCTCCTCTTTCCAACAGCCACCGTTTGATGGCGAGGATGAAGATGAGTTGTTCCAGTCCATTATGGAGCACAACGTGTCCTACCCCAAGTCTATGTCCAAAGAAGCTGTCTCCATCTGCAAAGGAGTGAGTAAACATTATTTGCTATCAATAAAAACATGTTCTGCTGCTAAAAAAAACGTTTTTGTAGATAACTTGAATCCAAAAACATGATGATAGGTAAGTGTATTGGGTATTTATATAATGTTTACATTGTACAATGTCAGTGTTGCAGTGTTTTTCTGCTAGTTTATCTCGGGATCAAGGTTAATCTAGGGAGAAACACTGACAGGCGTTGTCACCGTCTGCTGCAAGACTTTTCTCAGACTTTAGGAAGTGTAGCTCCATTTGCTCTAAGAATGACGTGTAGGCTTTTTTAAATACTGTCTCGGAAGTCATCTTCAAGTTGTCTACCCTTTTCCCACTCAGCTCTCGCGTCTGTGACGTTTGCATTATTAAAGCTTTGAAGGGAAATATATCAGGTCCTCCAACATACTTCTCAAGGGCATCTGTAAAGTAGTTCAGGGATTTTAGTTTCTTAAAGGTTTTTGCAAATCATTTTTAGCCATTTTACAGAGCTTGTTCTAGTAAAGGTTTAATTCTAAACACAAACTATTTTAGTGGCTACTTAAGAACATACTATTCAATAACACTAAAGGATATTGAGAGCATATTTAGCATTTGGAAATATACATTTGCTTGATCAAGATAACAAATATATATTTGAGAACACAACCTTTATTAACAGAACGCCTCAGGTGTGGACAGTTGGCCCCTCCTGATAACGTGAAGATATTGAATAGTGAATCACCGGTGATCTGCTGCTGAGAAGTGATGTTTGTGTCCCAGACCCTGAATGTGCAAAACAGATTATAAAAGCAGATTATTTTAAATGTGACGACGTTGACCAGAAAGGTATCCCATATGTTGTACAATATACATTTTACAAGTCAACTGCAAATGCTCATAATATCAGATATTCTAAAGTTGCCTCCTCTTCACACTTAGTAAATACATTATAGCACACAACTACTGAAATTAACCTCAACATTACATGAACAAAGTAGGCACACGTTGAAATATCTGTTTTATTAATGAACCACTGAAGAGAGGTTCAGACACATCCCAAAACATGTCAAGTTTCTCCAAGGCTGAGAACACATAATGCAGCCTGTACTTTTTAATAAAAACTGATTTTTAACAGAGTTTATATATTTGTGATCATACTGTGTGACCTGCTTGTATATACTGTACTTACACAGTAGGTGAAAGGTGGTTAACAGTGTGTGTAATCATGCCATACATTTGAAAAGTGTCAATAAATGTTCAGTACAAATTTTCCAAAAATTGAAATGTGCAAATATGAATACATTGCAAATATTAAGCATACTGTGCTGGTGACCAGCATTGTATGCTGGTATGCTGGTCACCAGCATCCACCTATCACCAGCTTATGTTTAATAATAGTATTACATTTACCATGCTAGAAGCTTACCAGTATTCCAGTTGACCAGCTTACATATAAATACTGGTATGATTATTTAAACCAGAGGACATACATATATTACAAAGATTCATTGTGTCATGTATTCTGGTTACTACCACAATAAATACATTGTATAGTGTATAACTATATCACTTGTATAACTTATATAAGTTCTGATGAACCTTTGTGGGAAAAGTACTGCGGTGTGAAAGCACCTAATGGTAATGTTTAGAATGGATTTAGGAACCCCCCCCCCCCCTCGATTCTATTGGCTCTAACGGTTCAAAAGTGGTGTCAATCACAAAAATTGACCGATGGGTTCCAGAGATATGGCAAATACACCCAAATGACCCCAGAGGTGGGTTTTGTGTTGCTAAACCTCTCTAAAAAGGTCAAATTTCACTTGTTTTGCATCAATCTTGATACAGGGTACTTATTATATGTTATAGTTTGGATTCCTAAAGCTTTTTGTCTACTATCCCATCATTCAAGGATGGTTTTCACTATAAGTAAGGGTTTTTTTGGACAGAATTTTTATTTGACTATGTTCAATCTGAATTTACTTTAAAATAAAACATCTATATTGATTCTGACTTTTCTACATCCAACTACAGTTGTATCATTGCTTTGAGAAAAAAGATTATTAATTTACCGCTTTTAGAAGTGAAGATATAGTCATTTGTTCTGGGCGTCATTTTCGAGCCTGAGACCTGAAAAACAGGCTTGGGGCTTAACAGGTTAACAGGTTAAGTGTTATTATGGGAGAATTACTATTCTTGTGGTACTACTGCCTTATTAGGCCCATATGGAGCAGAGCATATTAAGACCAAAACTCATGTACAACAACTTCCTTACTTGCAACAAATAAGCACCAATTAGAGGGTTATTGAGGAAAAACTCTCAACTAATGGCTTATTACTTGTAGAATATGGTCATGTAGAATAAGGCATTGATACGTGTTTTATAATGACTAATAAAGAGCCAATATACTGCTAATATGCATGTTAATTAACAACTAGTTGATGGTTAATTTGTGTACCTTAATATAAAGTGTTACCTTTTCTTCATTTTTGGATACGGAACACTTTTTACTGATCACTCTCCGATCTTCCTGGAGACATTCTAAATAGAGTGTATGACATTTGATGTTGGAGCCCAGCACTGGCCTTGTTTGTTGCAATTTGTCATTACATTAAACGGATCTCCTGTGGTTTGTTAATCGAATGCTGTTTCCACTGCCATGAGTTCTCCAGAGACAGAGGGGAGTGACCAGAACAGAGGGTCAGGGCAAGTCAAGCAGGGAAACAATTTGTCCAATTTATGTCAACAACACAATGTTTTCAAAAACAAATAACAGAGAAGGGAACATCAACTTTTAAAAAAAGATTATTTCAGGACACCAACTGGACGGCTTCATTACAACTCGTAAAATGTGCAACATGGAATAAACTATAAGGGGAACGTCATGTAGATACGAAATATGAAACACTCCCCTTCTATAGTTTTACCTCTGTTTTTATGATCAACATTCACACGTTGTATCTACTAAAGAAAGAAACACTGGTATATTAGTGCATGGTCATGGTAAGGCAGTGTTTCCCCTACCATTGTCTTGGAGGGGCGCCCCGCCAACGGAGCCCCGCGCCTCCCCTGAAATTCAAGGTGTTTAACTTTTTTTTTTTTTACTATATATATATAGAACCAAATTGCAACTAATCTATATCTACTGTCACTTTTCACATTGAACATGTGCTCCTTTATTAAATAAACTAAACTTTAAGTTGTGAGTTTAGTGTTTTTGACCCTAAGAAACACTGATGCATTAATCAATAACAATAATCCACAGCTCCTCTCTCTGCTCCAGAGGATTTAAAACATATATATTCCAATGCCACCCCCCACGCTTAGGCAGCACCCCCCCAAAGCAGTAAACCTATGGGGAAACACTGCAAGGGGAGCTGATGGAGATTAAATATGGATGAATTTTGCCATAACAGTCACTGATGACATGAGGTTCACCTGAGGACTATTTGATCAATAAAAACTGCGAGTCACTTAGAAACATTGTTCATGTGGTTCATGTCGGTAGAAGCAGACAGTTCCTGCTTTTAACCCATCCTAGTACCAGGAGTATAGTACTAGGAGCAGTGGGCAGCTATTGTACAGCACCCATGGAGCAATGGGGGTGGGGGGTTGTCTGGTGCCTTGCTCAAGGGCACCACGGCAGGGCCCAGGAGGTGAACTGAGACCTCTCCAAGTAGCAGTCCACACTCCATATTTTGGAGTCTGTTCGGGGACTTGAACCGGCGACTGACTGAGCCACTGCTTGTATTCCTTAAAGATACAGCGAGACTGTTCGTAACAGAAGCGGCGACATAAGGATGTGTTAGTATACCTTTCTTCCTCTTAAATTCCAAAAGTAAGCTCAAGGGTTGCAGAAAAGCACATTTAATTTAAGTGGTTAATTTAAGTCTTTATTTTTGTCCAGAGGCGGGGCAAATTCACTGAGCTGTGCAATAACACGCTTTGTCTCCTTGTCCTTTCCTCAACTCCACTTGTTTTTTACTGTACCCCTCTTCCCTTTTCCATCCTTGTCTTAGCGCCGCGTGTGCTAGAATGTGTGCAGCACTTACTCTCAATGGATACATAGTGCTTGGAAGCAGCCTTACACACACGAGAGAGGGTAAATGTGCTGGAAGAAGAAAAAAGAGACAGAGTGGTTTGAGGGAAATAAAGAGGGGGAACGAGAATAACCAATTTGGACAGAAAACTGATGTTCATACGGCAATGTATAATAAGACCTTTGGAAGACATAAGTATCTCAGTGAAAAGGACATAAACAATGCAGTATATGTCTGTATGCAAACATACATATGCTGGTGGAGTGCAATTATACATATAGGCTCCATTTTAAGTAAGCCTGGGTAAACTGTACAGTTCATTACATTTAAAATAGGTCACAGATGGAGATACACAGTATCTCAGTAATGGGATGCCACCTAAAGAGGGTCGCCCATCTGAATGCTGTTGTAGTTCATTATGATTACGGAAAGAGAATCAGAGTGAGACAGATATGAATTAATATTGAGGGTAATATGTGACATAAAGGTCAGTGAAGCAAATATTTGAGTAACTTACTTGAATACATCTCTGGAGATCTTGTGTATTGTCAACACAGAAGTTCGGATATAAAAACTAAAGTGTGGTTTATCTTTATTCAGACGTTTTTCTCGGTCGATCCCCTGGTTCTCTCCAAATTAATTGGGCTCTAAAGATGTGTGTTTTAAAAGCCTTGATGTACTGATCACACTGATCTCTGCTGACTTAGACACGCCATCTGCTTTCTCTTTTACTTATTTTTCTCCTTGTCATATCTTGTGGTTTGATGTTCTCAGCCGAAGCAGCAGGGTAACTTTATAGTTAGCTACACTTTGTGAACACGTGCAACCTCTGTTGACAGTTTATGGCACGGCTAAGCAATTCATGTTTGACTGCTAACAGTTTGCAGACAGAATGATGAAATGCTTTGTATGAAATGTCAACACCACATCTTCTATTTTTCAGTAGAAAATCATCGATCACATTTTAACTGTGAATGTTTTATTGACATGGTGTCAGCCCAGCAGTCAGTTGGATCAAGGACATTGCAATGTGTAATGGGACTCATTTTAATGGTGATAGAGCCTTGTGTTTGCAGCAGGATGAGTGACATTCGTGTGGACAGACAGAAATCTGCAAAAGTCATTTTCTTCCTCGTCAACAGCTGTCTGATGTGCTCTGCCAGCTGGATGCACTCTGCTAGTTCAGATGGCCCAGCCCACGGCCTGTATGGGGAAGGGGCTTACTGCAGGAAACTGGCCTGCAAAATCCTGCAAGTAGATACAGTATTTAACACTTAAAAAAGATTGTTTTTAGCATGTCACTTAAAATTGTCATGTCTTTTAAACTATATTTTTCTTCAAAAGGTTAAACAATCAGAGATCTGGCAGTGCAGTGGTGTATTTATTGCCTTTATGTGTCTGTACTTGCACCTCTGTTCTTATGCACATTCTTCATACAGTACCAACACATCTAAAGCAATGCTGGGCTGTTTAACAATCTGTTCAATTATATGAAATACAACTTGTGGACATGTTTTGATTTCGATAGTGGGATCCGATAGACAGGATAAACACAACATTTGAAACATCAATAATGTGCAAGGAAATACAAAGCTTTACCTGCATATTCAATGTGTTCTTCCGTATTGAAACAGCAGAACGGTACCTTTAGGGGAAAGAAGGAGAGGGATGAATGCGCTTGTATTTTATAGGAGTTTCTTTCCACCATTTGTTTTGTCTGTGCATTGGACACAGTTATTAAAAAAGAAAGGACATTTTGAAAGTAAAAACAACTTCCAAGTAACTCAATAAAAGCCAAGAGCTGCATAAAACAGTGCTGATGGCTATGCAGCTCTGGAGTGTGTTCTGCAGTATACTTAACCATAACCTAGCAACACATTTTAATTTTGATTCTTGTCAAACAAACTAGTGTAAGACAAAAGGATTGTGTCAGAGGTTGTAATAAGATAGCTCAAGGATGAGTGATTATCATGTCATATCATTCAGGATAACTGCCAAGGTGACTGAGCTACACAGGAAAGTGTGCATCACAGATTAGGGCTTTAACTGGCGGTGCTTCTGTGTATATATACATGCATGCTTTCGAAAAAAACATGCATTGCACTTACATGGTAATGGAAGCCAGCCTATATAAGCATTAAACCGGCTCAGGCAAACTAAGCACCATTTATTTTTCCTGAATCCAGTGCATGAATTAATCATTTTGTCCTTGGAATTTCAATGCTGAAACCCACCAGTCTCTCTGTCTGTCTCTACATAGTTATTTCCCTTCCTAAACAATACCAGAAGGAAAAACTCACTGCATTAAGGTGGCATAGCGAATGTTCAACAGGTGATATTCCATATTGTATACTGTATAAAAAAAACTGCAGAACACCATCTATTACGAGTAGTGATTTCTTTAATTCCTTTAAAATATGCTTGTTTCCATCTCCAGACCTAGTTGTGTTGTGTTCAAGACATTATTTGGATAGTTATGTTTGAGTAATACCAGAAGGCACCTAGAAAAGGACGTTCATCGTTCATTATGTTCCATGCGAGTATTTTCTTTTATTATTATTAACTTTGTTTGCTTTTTAGCAAAGTGCAAAGGGTGTCCTCATGTTATCTGCTGTGCGATTTGGAAGTGGTTCTCTAAAAGCAGAACAAGCAGAGAGAAGGCAGAAGGCTCATCTGTTTAGCTGTCGTTTACTGATCTAGAGAAGAGGTGAAATCCCATTACAAAGCACATCAGTGAAAGAACTAAATAGTGGAAGGGAACAGGTGAGGGTTTTCCTGATGCACTTGCACTGACCACTGTGCGAGAGAGACATTAAAATGCTGATTTCATTGTTTATCTGGGAAATGAAATGCTGCGTATTGTATTATTTGCTGAAAGGGATATTTACATAAACATTGATGAATAAAATGAAACGTTTTTTCCTTTGAAGTTGTGGGAACTAATGTGAATAATGCTTTCCACACCGTAAGAGGGGTCACCACTGTGATTGTCTTTGTTCTAACCTCATGTCCTTTCTGTTCCTTACTATGAGCAGCTGATGACCAAGCACCCATCCAAGCGTTTGGGCTGCAGCACTGAAGGAGAGAGAGACATCAGAGAGCACGCCTTCTTCCGTCGCATCGACTGGGAGCGCCTGGAGAACAGGGAGATTCAGCCGCCCTTCAAGCCAAAATCGGTAAGTGCTACTGTATGGTACAGTACATTCACTTTTACACCGGGCAATAGGGTTTCCTTAATACTGAATAATCGAATTAAGTATTACACCGCTTGGTATGATTACTGTTATAGATGTCATGATGAGTGGCAGGCCACATTTCCCATTACACTTGTCTGTCTTTCACCAGAGGAATAGTGCTATCTTGAGCCTTTTTTCCTTTGGATGCATGTTGCAAATTGTGAAATGTCAGCAAAAATGACTTTCTTTGAGACGCACTATTTTCTTTGTCTACACCTTTTCAGTATTTTTGCAACTTTCCATTCATCACAGAATATCACTAACTGCGGTTTTCCACCTGTTTTTCATGCCCATTTATAACTTTCAAATGGAAAATCAGGATGTTTTGGCGAAAACATTTGAAATTTCACAAAGACTCAAGTCATTTCACAAGTTTTACACTCGGCTGCAAAAGTTCGACTTCTCTTATTTTTAACACAATGTTAAATGTTAGACAGATCTTATATGGCAACAAAAACATTTTCATAAATGGAAGAAATAATAAAAATAAATTTGAATGCATCAAAACAGATAAAAAGAGAAGTTAACAAATCCAACTTTATGAACAGCATGAATCCTAAACTACAGATATCACTACAGGACAAGACTTTTGATGCCACTCTTCACTCCTTTGGGGAGTTTGTGTTTGTGGCTGTTTGTTTACTTGATCCTCACTGCCGTCTTCTCTCATATTTGTCAGGGAAGGTTAATCATCAGAACTTCTGTAGATGCTGTCCTTGAGTATGGTTACAGTGTTGTTTTTGCTTAAGTGATTGTCCCTATTAGAACTGATTATCTATTAAAATAATTTAGTATACTACAGGATCATTTTATATTATATAACTTGGACATACAGTGCTATGTTTTCAGTGTTAAACAGTGTTCAAATTAAAATGATCAGCTGGTGCATAATGTAGCAATCCAGACAAAGTAAGGTGCCGGTCATAATATGTTAAACACTGACTATTTGGACAAAATTGGCTGCTCAAGATTACATTTTCAACAACAAAATGTTCAGTTTTTTTGGTGTTTTTTTTTAAACAAAGTACTTTAAATTCCCTTCACATTTCTCCAAGAAACCCTTCCTGTTAATGTTGTCCGGAATATGTATCCTGGAAAGTTATGAGATTTGAAGTTTTCAAATACACAGTATATTGCAGAAAAAAGCATGTTACCTGCAAACTCTAGTCCATCCCTTTCATCTTTCTCTCCCATTTTACTCAAGCCTCACATGTAAAGTACACAGAAACACTGTGTCCTCATGCGGAAGTATTGTGTTGCCGCAGACTCTAAATTGATCGTGTTTCAGTCAGGACAGTAATTTAAAATATCTTGTTTTGCAAGAATAGACATTTACCATTCAAAAACATCACGCTGAACAAAAATATAAATGCAACACTTTTGTTTTTGCTCCCATTTTTCATGAGATGAACTCAAAGATCTAAAACATTTTCTATATACACAAAATAACCATTTATCTCAAATATTGTTCACAAATCTGAAAATATCTGTGATAGTGAGCACTTCTCCTTTGCCGAGATAATCCATCCCACCTCACAGGTGTGGCATATCAAGATGCTGATTAGACAGCATGATTATTGCACAGGTGTGCCTTAGGCTGGCCACAATAAAAGGCCACTCTAAAATGTTCAGTTTTATCACACAGCACAATGCCACAGATGTCGCAAGTTTTGAGGGAGCGTGCAATTGGCATGCTGACAGCAGGAATGTCCACCAGAGCTGTTGCCCGTTAATTGAATGTTCATTTCTCTACCATAAGCCGTCTCCAAAGGCGTTTCAGAGAATTTGGCAGTACATCCAACCGGCCTCACAACCGCAGACCACGTGTAACCACACCAGCCCAGGACCTCCACATCCAGCATGTTCACCTCCAAGATCGTCTGAGACCAGCCACTCGGACAGCTGCTGCAACAATCGGTTTGCATAACCAAAGAATTTCTGCACAAACTGTCAGAAACCGTCTCAGGGAAGCTCATCTGCATGCTCGTCGTCCTCATTGGGGTCTCGACCTGACTCCGGTTCGTCGTCGTAACCGACTTGAGTGGGCAAATGCTCACATTCGATGGCGTCTGGCACGTTGGAGAGGTGTTCTCTTCACGGATGAATCTTATTGGGGGGGGTGGGGAATCGAGTGGCCCATGGTGGTGGTGGGGTTATGGTATGGGCAGGCGTATGTTATGGACGACGAACACAGGTGCATTTTATTGATGGCATTGTGAATGCACAGAGATACCGTGACGAGATCCTGAGGCCCATTGTTGTGCCATTCATCCACGACCATCACCTCATGTTGCAGCATGATAATGCACGGCCCCATATTGCAAGGATCTGTACACAATTCCTGGAGGCTGAAAACATCCCAGTTCTTGCATGGCCAGCATACTCACCGGACATGTCACCCATTGAGCATGTTTGGGATGCTCTGGATCGGCGTCATACGACAGCGTGTTCCAGTTCCTGACAATATCCAGCAACTTCGCACAGCCATTGAAGAGGAGTGGACCAACATTCCACAGGCCACAATCAACAACCTGATCAACTCTATGCGAAGGAGATGTGTTGCACTGCGTGAGGCAAATGGTGGTCACACCAGATACTGACTGGTTTTCAGACCCCCCCATACCCCCCCAATAAAGCAAAACTGCACGTTTCAGAGTGGCCTTTTATTGTGGCCAGCCTAAGGCACACCTGTGCAATAATCATGCTGTCTAATCAGCATCTTGATATGCCACACCTGTGAGGTGGGATGGATTATCTCAGGCAAAGGAGAAGTGCTCACTATCACAGATTTTTTCAGATTTGTGAACAATATTTGAGAGAAATGGTTATTTTGTGTATATAGAAAATGTTTTAGATCTTTGAGTTCATCTCATGAAAAATGGGAGCAAAAACAAAACTGTTGCATTTATATTTTTGTTTAGTGTAATATCAGAGAATGAAAGCCAATTATAAGATTTTAAACCAGCTCAGGCTAACAAAGCACCATTTCCATTTCCAGTCCACTGGATGAGTCTGCCATGTTGTCCTTACTGTCATTAGTGTCAATACTGAAACCAGTCTCACTGTCTCTATAAGTGTACGTAAATTATTCTGTCAGACTGGAGCAAAGATTGGGGTAAAACTACTGGTGAGACACAACTGCATAGATGGTTAGTTTCACTTTATTTATTTAGTTATTCTTAGCTGTTATAGTGCATTTTGAGGCAGTCAGCATGCATAGTTGTCTGCATATGGGTGATGGGTAAGTGATTCCTTCAATAAAATAAATAAATTATATACATGTACATATTTTAGTTAAAGCTTAGTCACTCTTTTTTTTTTTTAAATGTTGGTAGACCGGACGGTTAACATTGTTCTATTGTGGACATTAGGAAGGGACAACATTGTATAATCAAATGTTCTTGGAAACATATACTCTACTTGAACATACTGTAATTACCTTAACAACCATTATCCATGACCATCCATCCATTCACTCATTCCTATATCTGTTCATCCTGTGCAGGATGATGGGGGTCAAGTGGCGGTATACAACAAGTACAGGTTGCTACTCAGTAGTTTATCTAGGGCTTCAGGGAGTCTACAGCATAAAACAATTACACTGTTATTGCATAAGCATCACATCTACCAGCACAAGTGTGATAGACGGATTGTTGATACTCCAATATGCTTTGGAGATTTATAGTACATTAAATACTATGAGCCTATGGTAGGCCTCATTATATGAAGTAATTGCAACACGATGTATTCATATTTGTTGAGATACATGCGGATGTAATTTGATTGCAGTCCTTTGTCACATATCCTTTAAGAGTTGCTTACAGTGCCAACAATGTGTGTTAAGAATGTAAGACATATGTTGCGCTGCAAAGACCAAAAATATATTCAGTTTCAATTATATTAAACAGAGAAAATCAGGAAATCTCCATGTGTACAACTGTGTTTCTTGTCATTTTGAATATCAGATTTTGAAATAAGTTAACTTTAATATTCCCAGTTGTTTAATTGATAAGCCAACCAATCATTGCAGGTTTGGACACAATCAGGAAGTTATACCATTAGCATAATCTCCACTCCAAGATGAATGCCAGAGTTGTATGTGATTCCATGCTGACAACAAAACCAGAGCCAAGACAACCCCAGCACAGACCTTTTATAGTCTGCAGAAAAAATTAATTAGAGTCTGTGCCTATTAAATAGGCTGATGTCAGTCTGATGAGGAAGATAATACTGCCTTGACATGAAACTCTTCAGTAAAGTCAAAACACAGCTGCAGGCGTATGCTCCTTATCGCATATGTTATATGGGCTGCAAGTCATTTCAAAGCCTCATCTGAATGTATAAATAATGTGGCATACATTTATTATGAAGGCATAATCTCATATAGATCACATTTGGCTGCACAGTTAGGAGTAGTTTGGAAATCCCTGAAGATAACACATGATAAGGCAGAGCACACACACACTCTCGCCCTGTCTTTCTATCATTGTCCTTCAAACACAGACACACATATACACAAACACACACGCACGTAGACTAAGTGTGTGTATCAGGAGTTAACAGGGGTGACGCAGGTCAGTGTTGTGTGTGTGCGTGAATCTGTTAAACATTCAGTTTAAATATTGTAGTTCTCTTCTGTTTCAACCCCCAAGGGCTCCAGTTCCTCTAATAAGGTGAATCCTGACCTCTTTGTCCATGTAGTCTCTGCTGACCATACGGGCTGGTGTCATGGAAATGCTGTGTGTGCTTTGTGTGTGTATGTGTGAGTAAATGTGCAGATGTGGGAAGGTTAAAAGGGATTGAAAACAGCAGAGGAGGAAGATTTTCTTGCATGAACGCCTCGTCTATTTGCTGCTCATTTGTCTGTGGGGGGGAGTTAGTCAATATCGGAGGGGGAGAGGAAAGCTTCTGTGCTTGTATCTGTCCATGCTGAAGTTAAA